CACACCTAAGAGAAGTCAGTCCGTGGTGTCAGTAACGCTGTACAGCTCCACTCAGATGCGGACGCGGCAGGCAGAGTGGCAGAATTCTCGGCAAGCGGGGCCAGTGTAGAATGGGGACATGGGAGCCGCCAGGAGAGGCCATGGTCACGGTCACACAACACGGCCACTGCATTCAACGCCACCAAACTGTGATGTGGAAGCTCTCTATTCTCTATTCCACCTGTTCTCCATGCTGGATTAGGGTGAAGCTGTAGTCCCTGGAAGAGAAGGGCAGGAAGTGTCTGGGGCCGCGGGGCCTGGGTTCGGCTGCCATGGGAACTGTTCTCAGCATCCCCTCCGAGCAAGGTCTGACCTGGCGCTGCCCAGCAAGGAGCCGAGTGCCCTGGGCCTCCTGAGGCAGCCCCGAAGGTGCAGGATGCTCAGCCGGCATCCCTCATCTGGCGAGGCAGTCCCTCAGGGGGTCACCCCGGTGCCCGATGTCCCCGGAGATGTCTGCTGTTGGCAGCAAAGGCTGGGTCAGAGCCAGTGGCCAAGGTGCCCATCAGTCTGTGGCACTGCCTCCCGGTGACCCAGACGGGGTTTGGGTCCCTGGCAGGTACTGCCTCTGTGTTGGGCACTGGCACAGCTGCCAGCCATGTCCCCTCCCTGCAGGACCTGCCCTGCTGGCCAGCTGGGACATGCAGTGTGACGTCCAGCAGGGAGTGTGCAGGAAGGGACAGCATGGGCAGGGCGTGCTCTGGGCTTCACCGTTCTGGCCGTGCTGCCCACCCCATCCTGGGAAGGGGTCCAGGGTACCTCTGCAGGCGCAGGTGACGTCTGCTGGCCAGGGGACACGGGTGCTGGCTGGAGAGACTGTCCTAGCTGCTGTGGAGCCAGTAGGTTGCCTCACTGATGCCCTGCGCTGGGCTGGGCTGGGCTGAAATTAGCAGGTGGGGGTGGCTCTGTCATCAGGGCCTGCCCAGGTGGCCACAAGGGGAGTCAGACAGCGACACACTGCTGGGCCCAGGGCAACTGGGGCCAGTGATTGTCCTGGCTGCCCTGTGGCCACCTAGCCTGGGCCCTCCGTCCTCCCGACCCAGGCCTGCCTCCCCGGGGACACTCAAGCACCTGCACCTCTGTCTCTGCCCCAGGCTCCCCTTTGCTGGGGCTCCCCACTCCCCTTCCGTCCCTGCGTCCCCACCACCCGCTCCAGGCCCACTCCCTTATCTGGGTCCACCCCGCACTGTGTCGAGCCTGTCCCCATGGCAACGGGGCAGATGGCGGCTGCGATTAGCCCTCCCCCTCCCACAGCTCAATCCGTCTTTGAAATTAAATCAGGGCGATAACATCTCGGACTGGGAGCTGGGAGGGGGCACCCCACCCACGGCCCGGCGAGGGGGAGGGGATGGGGGGGCTGGGCTGCTGAGTGACCTTGGCCAAGTCTCTCAGCCTCTGAGCCTCAGTGTCCTTGTCTGTAAATGGGGTGAGCAGTCTCCTAGCGGAAAGTGGGTGCCCGTGGGGCTAAAGATCTCACCCCCAGATCTGCCCTGTGACTGAGGTGTGTCACCCATGTCACCGATTCCTAGTACAGGAAGGATGTTGCCTTTTGTGTGCGCTTAGGCCTTTAAATTGAGCCAGCCCTGTTGTTTGTTTGTTTGTTTGAGACAGAGTTTTGCTAAGCCGCTATGTACCCCAGGCTGGATTTGAACTTGTGACCTTCCTGCCTCGGCCTCCCAGAGGGCTGAGATTATAGACATGTGCCAGCACGCCCATTTGGAAGAACATTATTGAAAGCCATCATGTCCATCCTCTCCTCAGGAGGATTTGGGTCCCTTCACATAGCCAGGGCTCTGAAAGCCTGCATGGACAGCTCAATGACACCAGAGGCAGAGGGACAAGGAGGTATTAGCTGCATAGGTTGGGGTGTGGGGCTCCAGGTGAGGGATCTACATATGCCAACATCAAAGGTGGGAAAGGGTGGACAGTGCAGAGTTGGGGAGCAGAGGAAGGGCCATTGGGGGTCTGGGTGGAGGTGGCAGGCAGCAGGCATGGCCAGTGCAAAGATCCTGGGGCAGGAACAGCCCAGGTGTGTGTCTGGGACAGCAGAGAGGCTGGGGAGCCAGGTGGTCACAGGCCAGGTGACATGGGGCTTATGCAGGGAGCATGGGTGTCCCAGCCCAGGTTGGGGCACCAGCACGGTGCCCTCGCTCTGCACAGCCGTCCATTAGAGATGGGGGTGGGCACTCTCACTGCCACTGTCCCCACCCTAGACGCACGGTCAGGGACAGGGGCCCCACGGGAGACGACAGGTGGCCTGGGCAGAGGGGACAGCATGTCATGGATGCTGAGAGGGTGGGGAGCCAGAAGCACCATGGCCAGGGACCCCTTCTCCCCTGTGCATCCCTGGATTCCTCCTGTCCAGCAGTAAAGTAGGGCTCAGCATCTGTACAAGGCCTCGGTGCCTGGGACACAGCCGCAAGAGCAGCGCAGGGACCACAGCGGCCAGGCCATGTCGGACAGGGCACCATGCCCCACGCCGCTCCTAGGGTGCCAGGCACATGGGGCCCCGCAGACGCCCTTCCCTCTGGCTGTAATCGCATTTGCCCGGCAGCTGTCCCAGCTGAGCAGCCACTCGATGGCCTCGTCGGCCAATGACGGGAAATTAGCGGGTGGGGGACAGAGGTCAGGGTCGCGGAGGACAGAGGTCAGGTGGTCAGAGCCACCCAGGGCTTTGATGAAGTTAGTCCTGGGGCAGGATGGGCATGGGCTCCGGCCTCCCAAGGGCTGGACAGCCCAGCCTCTGCCAGTAACACAGTTAGCAGCCTGCAGCTGCTGCCCGGAGCCAGGCGGCCACAGCACCCACGGGGCTCCACGGGCCCAGGAGAGCTGGCTTCACATGCCATCTCGGGTCCTTCCCGGGCCCCTGCTCAGTCCACTCCATCCCCCCTGTCCGCTTGGCCGCGTCCTCTGAGCACAGCACTTGACTCCTGCTGTTCCCTGGAACCGCGTGCCTCCATCTTTCACTCCACGTTGTTTGTCTGGCGCCCACTAGAGGTCAGGCTCGGAGCAGGGCCCTGGCACACAGAAGTGATCCCGTCACCGCCCAGCCCTGAACCCCCCAGCCTGGAATCGCCTCCTCTCCTGGCTGCCCTCCAGCCCCAGATGAACCGGAAGTTAGAAGCGGACAGGTCCTCCTCATAGACACGCTCATGCACACAGGAGCACACAGCTCACGCACCTGCTCACACATGTGCACACGCACGCATTTACCTTTGGCTGTTGCTGCAGTGACGTAATAACTATTTTAAAGGCAAAGTCACTTGGAGTCAAAGCCCAGGATTCGGATCTGGGTCTGCCTGCCAGCCATGGGGCCTCTCCGTGCCTCAGTTTCCTCCTAATCCCATGGGGCAGTGGCCCCTGTCTGGGAGTGAGGTGGGCACTGAACGTGACTGCTGGCCCTGCTCTGGCCTCAGGGCCTTTGTCCTGCTGCTTTTACCCAGACCCCCATGGCCCAGGCCCAAGATCCTGCTCCCTATCAACCACTCGGCTCCCTCCTGGCCCCAACCTGCCCTTTGCCCCAGTGTGGCTGCCCGTGCTTCTGCACAGCGTTGTCACCGGGACCCTGACTCCACAAGGGGAGGGATCTAACTGCTTGACCCCAAGCTGTACTCCAACTACAGCTGGCACAGAACAGGGGCCTGATGACTGTTCCTTCAGTTGCCAGTCTGGGCGTGGTGCCCACCTGGAACCTCAGCTACTCAGGAGGCCGAAGCAGGAGGATCTCGAGTTCCATCTCACCCAGGCAACTTAGAGACTTCAAGAGACCATCTCAAAATGAAAAGGGCTGCAGATGTGGTTCAGCATGAAGGGCCTGGGTTCAATCCCTGCAGGGCTGGGGTGAGCTCAGGGGTCAGGCATGGGCTTAGCCTGTGTGAGGCCCTGGGGTTGATCTCCAGCATCAAAAAAGTATAAAATAAATACATTAAAATACCTGATAAGGGCCAGGGATTTAGTTCAGTGGTTTCGCCGCCTGCTGCACAAGCACAAGGACCTGAGTTCGATCCCCAGTACCAAAAAAAAAAACCAAAAACCCTGATAAATCTCTAAGTTTGAAATTGTTTTAAAATAAACCTTTATAATACACATTTTTGGGCTGAGGATTTAGCTCAGTGGCACCGCACCTACCTTGCAAGCTCAAGGTCCTGAGTTTGATCCCAGTACCAAAAACAAAAAGCCCACATTTTTATTTATTTATTTATTTATTTTGGTACTAGGGATCGAACTCGGGACTTCCCACTTGCAAGGCAGGGAGTGGAACCACTGAGCTAAATCCCTGGCCCTAAAGCCCACATTTTTAAAAGACATGCTCAGCCAGGCATGGTGCCATACACCTGTCCTCACTCCCAGCACTTGGGAGGCTGAGTCAGGAGGATCACTGTGAGTTTTAGGCCAGCCTGGGTTCCAGAGCGAGAACCTATCCCAAAAAAAACAAAAAACAAACCCAAAACAACAGAAACATAAATAAAATAAAACCTCAAAATAAAAAGACTGGCACTCAATAGGCCTTATAATCAGAACACAGGCCCCTTCTCTTCCTCATTGCCAGCCACTCTCCTGACTAGGAAGGAGGCCACTACCCACACAGGGGTTTGCTTTGCTCTGCCTTGGAGGGAGCTCTGTCTCCATGGGTTGGGACCTGCTCCTCCCAACCCCACTCCCTGAGCCCCTGGGGTGTAAGACTAACCACTGAGTGCTCATTGGGCAGCAGCACATGCAAAGGTCCTGAGGCTGTGAGGCGATGAAAGCAGTGAAGGAACAGAGAGGAGGGTGGCCCAATGTCTGGAGCTCAGAGGGATGGCTTTGGGAGGGTCCAGGGGAGTGGGCAGAGTCCTTGTGATGAGGGGTGGGGTCTTTCTGCTCAGGGCAGAGGGTGCCCTGAATGATTAAAGTAGGTGGGCACTGGGACTCGCGGTTCCGCGTCCCCTGCCCCTCCGGCCCACAGAGCTGGGTTGGTGCCTCGGTGAACTCACTGCCAAGACTTTATTAATCAGCTACGAACTCAGATTGCAGCCCGAGCTTGGCCCCAGAGGGACAGAGATGCAGCCGGACCCGCAGACACCGCGCTCATGTGTTGTACACCCGCTTGACCTGCTCCTTGCCGTTGATGGTCACTGAGCGGAGCTGCCCATCCTGCTTTACCTCCATGCGCTCCTGCCCGTTCTCCACAATGCGCTTTGTGGTCACCTTGTGCCCATTGACCATCTCTGTGGACGACATCACCAACTTGAAGCCTGAGCTGCCCGCTCCCGGCCCCCGGAAGGTGGAGGACGAGAAGGCAGTGCGGATCCCGCTGCGGCCCAGGGCGTCCATGAAGGCCGGGAATTCGCCCAAGCCTGAGGAGGCGCTGCGCAGCCCAGGCCCGCGCCCACCGCTGCCTCGCTGGCTGCCCCTGAAGGGGCTGTCCCAGAAGTCAAAGGAGAAGGGGTGGAGGCCGCCGAAGAACTCCCGGAAGATGTTCTCAGGGTTTTGGAAGGTGTAGCCGCTGCCGAAGGGACTGTGGTGTGGGGAACTGGCCCCGCCACCCGCCCGGCAGCTGTCACAGCCCACGCAGTCATACACCGAGCGCTTCTTGGGGTTGGACAGGACCTCATAGGCCTCGGACACCTGCTTGAACTTCTTCTCGGCCTCCTCTTTGTTGTGGGGGTTCTTGTCGGGGTGCCAGCGGAGGGCCAGCTTTCGGTAGGCCTTCTTGATGTCATCAGCGGAGGCTCTGGCCTGCACGCCCAGCACCTCGTAGTAGTTCACCATGGCGAGGTGCCCGGGAGGTGGCTGCGGGGACAGGACACGAGGGCGCAGCTGGCCAGGCGGCTCCCTGTGGCGGCGGTGGGACCTGGCGGGAAGCTTCGGGGTCCAGGCGAGACTGTGCCCCTCAGTGGACTTAGCTCATCATTGTCCCTGGGCGCAGAGGGGCTGGGGAAGGGGAGGGACAGTGCCGCTGCGGGCTGTCCTGGGGTCTCCTCCAGAGCTGGGGTCCAGCCTTTGTGACATCAGCTTCCAGGGCGTGGCAAACCCCACCCCCAGCGCTGGACCAGGCAGAGCCAGGCAAATGGGGCCAGCCCTGGACACCAGGGCTGGGCACAGGTCTGCACCCGGAGACTGGGCCACCCTGGGGTGCCGGCTTCAGCCCCCAGAGCCAGGCAGAGGTGGGACCCACCACAGGCTTCAGGCCTAGGTTGGCTTTAAAGGTCTGGGGCAAGGGAGCAGGGGAGGGACCCAGGGCTTCCTGGGCTGCTCGTCCTCGAATTCTTAGGCCCAGTGGCTGGGTGGCTGCTGTGTAGCATGGAGGCCCAGGGTAGGGGGTCAGGCCGGCCAGGGGAGGTGGTGGGAGTTTATTTGTCTTGAACCATGTTGTTGCATCAGCTCCCCAGGGATAAGTGCGCTCCACACAGACAAGGATGTCTGCCAGCGTCTAGGATGAGCCAGGCACAAGGAGGCACTTAGCAAACATGCTTTGACTGAATGAAGCTCAGAGATGCACAGCAGTCCAAGGTCACACAGCAAGTGAGGAAGAGGAAGGTAGGAAGCCAGAGCTGTCTGGGCCATTGTGACAGAGCTGGTGGAAGATCCCACTCGCTCTGGAGAGGAAAATAGAGATGAATAGTAATACAGACCAGCGAGTGGAGTAGGCTGAACAGTGCTGCCCCAAAAGAGGGGTCCCTCTGGATGCCTGGAGACCCAGTGTGGCTTTATTTGGAAAGAGGGTCCTTGTGGGCATAGAGATGAGACAGACCTGGATGACGGGGGTGGGCAATGTCTGGAGACAGGCCTGGGTGACAGCCGCCAGGACAGAAGAAGCAGGAAGACCTTCCTCAGAGTGCAGCCCCACTGAAAAGCTGGTTCCGTGCTCCTGGCCTCCAGAATGGTGGAAGAACAGATTTCTGCTCTTTGTGGGAGATTTTTGTTTGTTTTTGCTTTTGAGATAGTTCGGGCTGGCCTTCAACTCTAGTTTGACCAAACTCATGGCAATCCTCCTGCCTCAGCCTCCCGAATGCTGGGATTACAGGTATTTGGTACCAAGCCTAGCAGATCTCTGTTCTTTTTTTTTTTTTTTTTTTTGGTACCAGGGATCGAACTTGGGTCCTTGCACTTGTGCAGCAGGTAGCGAAACCACTGAGCTACATCCCCGGCCCTAGACTGCTGTTCTTTGAAGCCACCTGGTTTGTGATCATTTGTTACAACCGCCCTAGAACACGGTGAATGACAGCAGTCCCGGGTGTTTCCATTTCTCCAGATGACGTCTGGGAGCTGTAGCTAACAATACTGCTGACAGCAATTCCTACCCTTGTGCCACCCTGACCAGGGCCACTGTTGTCATGACCACCATCCTTACCAGTGCCACCAGTGGGGGTGCTGCTCCTTCCGGAAGCTTCTGCAAGTGCCCGAGCACCCGCTGGAGAGGCACAGGAATGGGACCCAGTGGCTCTGTGCCACCACGGGTGAGGATGGTGGCCTTGACGAGCCCACAGAGGCAGGCACGGTGCTGAGGCTGGTGGGGTCACAGGGCCGAGGACAGCTGTCTGTGGTGGCCATGGGGTGGGGTGAGGACGGTGGTGGAAGAGGTCGTGGTGAGGGGAAGACGTCAAACGCCAAAGGACTCGCCAGTGGAGCAGCGGGTGAGGACGCTGGAGGCACTGGCGGGGCGGGGTTCGGGCTGTCTGGCACCCTGGAGAGCGGGAGGGTGGCCAGAGTCCCTTCCTCCCCATGAGTCCAGTCAGTGGCCAACGTGAGACTGAGCGAGGACGAGGGATGAGCCTCGGGTGCAGGAGGCGTCCTGAAGCCGAGAGCCCCGCAGCTTCCGGGCATGCCCTCCCGGCGGCCAGTGGCGGTATGAGCCTGGGCTAAAGCTCCGCCTGCTTGTGGCAGTCAGTGGCTGTCCTGGCCCAGTGCAGGGAGGTGATGATGGCGGTGATGGAGGAGGCGGGAACGGCGACAGTGGTGCTGCCTGCAGTGGAGGTCATGGTAATGGTGACCCTGGGTGTGGCGGAAAGGGTGGCCATGATGGTGCTCTTGGCGGTGGCAGGGGTGCCCCATAAGGGAAAGTGTGGAACTAGGAGCCATGCTCTGTCCCCTAGGGGTGATGTCCCCTCCTGCAAGGAGTTCGGGGGTCCTGCGGGGCAGCAGTGGACCCCCAAGCTCCCTCCACAGGGTCGGTGCAGAGGGTTGGGCTGTGTTCTTGCTTCCCCCTAGCTCTGAGGTCTCTCTCCCCTCCGAACCATTGTCCCCACTCACTAGCGGGCGGTGGTGCCCCTTCCCAGAGTCGCCCCCCTGGGCTCAGCCTCTGATGTCCCACGTCCCTAGACCTGGCTACCTCAGAGCCCACCCCCTGAGCCACAAAGAGAAAAGACCCCAAGTGCCCGGCTGGTCTCTGGCAGTGCCTGACCCACTGCCCAGGGGGCCCAGAGAGGGCCGGGCACACCCAAGGTCACACAGCAGTCCCAGGAAGTCCTCCTGGGAAGCTGATGGGCTGATTAGGCAGCCAGAGGCCCCTCTGTGTCTCTGTAATTAATGGAGTGGCTTTTTAAAAGGATTCTAATCACCCCTGATGCTATCTGCTTATCACTAGCGTTCCTAATTAGATGATCCTGGCAGTCACTCGGCTAATTCCCTCCAGCCCACGCAGCCCTGCCCGCCCAGGGTGGCCCCCACCCCCAGTCCTCCCTGGCCTGGCCAGATGGGCAGTGTGAGGCCTCTCGGCCCGCAGGGCCCTGGCGCTCTAACCGCATTACCTCCAGGATGGATGGGTGACAGCGGTGGATGGATGGGCCGCTGGATGGGCGAGTGGCAGCAGGTGAGTGGAGGGACCGAGTGGCAGCCATCCCGGAGGTAGGTGGACTGACAGGCAGACAGAGGGACAGATCACACAGTGGGTAAGGGCTCCACCTGACAAGGGTTTGAATCTGAGCTCTACCACTTCCTAGCTGTGTGTTCTTGGGGAAGTCACTTAACTTTGCTGTGCTTCACTGTCCTCTTCACTCGTACAATGGGGGTGATGACTAACCCTGCCTTATAAGCTCTTGTGAGGAGAGCCTAGCACAGATACAGCACTGTGTGCCTGTGTCTGCTACTGTCCTGCAGGGTTGGTCACGGGTGGGTCGACAGATAGAGGGGAGGACATGGTAGAGGAGTGACGGGGAGACATGGCAGGTGAGTGGGCATGGGAGATGGGCAGGAGGTCCATGCTCGTGCACTGGCCCTGAAGAGCTGGCCGAGAGTTGACAGGGAAGGGACCATGCGTGCTCAGAGGGAAGCAGGAACGATTCCCTTCTCCAGAGGTGATGCGACCCTCTCAGCTCAGTCCCAGTACTGATGGGCTTTTACTTCCAGGAAGGCTTCCTGTCCACCCCCAGCCAGTGGGACAAGTGCCACTTGGATCCTGCTCCTTTCCTGAGGTCACAGCCCAGGTCTGCCCTTCCTGGTGGACTGCTGGATCTCGAGGCACAGCTTTAGCCCTGAGTGGAGGCTTCCTGCCCACATGAAGGAATCATCTGTGGGACCCTCTGAGGCCCAAGACACCCCACCCCTGTTCCTGAGCCCAGCCCACCCCTATCTAGATCAACCCTGGATAGGGCTGGGATCCCAGTTTCAATAGTTGCACCTAAGCCCCCGGGCAGACTCAACTGCTCGGCCTGTGCCATTTCTCTGGTGTGAGACTTCCTTTCTTTTTGAAAAGAGTATGGAATGAAGAAGCCTGAAGTATCTTCTAAAGTCAAGGCTTGCATGTATATGTGCTCAACCACACTGGCAGATACCCATTCTCCCCACTACATATCCATCCATCCATCTACTCATCTACCCATCCACCCACCCATTCACCCACCCATCCATCTATCCACCCATCCATCCATCCACCCACCCATCCACCATCTACCCATCCATCCATCCACCCATCCACACATCCATCTACCCATCCATCCATCCATCCACCCACCCTCCCATCCATGTACCTATCCATCCACCACCTTTCCATCCATCTACCCATCCACCCATCCACCCACCCTCCCATCTATCTACCCATCCATCCATCCGTCCACCTACCTGTCCATCCACACTCCCATCCCACACACTTTCTGAGCTCCCAGCCACACACGTGCTCCATGCCAGGGCCACCGTCTCTGTGTCAGTGACACACTAGGCAGAGCCTCCCCTCACAGAGCTGAGACCTGGGGCTGAAGACATCCAAGAGATTGATTGTGCATAAAGGTCTGATACACACCAGGGAGAGGTTGGTGTGTGGAAGAAGAGAACAGAGTGTGGGCTTGGTGGCCCAGGCACCACAGCCATGTGTGTACACACACCTACACACACTTGCACACATCACCCCCCCCCCACAGGACCTGCAGCCCTGCTGGGCCTGGGGATCGGGACATGGGGACTTCAGAGATGTGGCCCTGCTGCCCGCTGCTGGCCAGGTGTGGCTGCCCTGTGCCCCTGCCCCCAGGCCCATGACCACCCCTACATCTGTTCACTGGAGCCTGGCACACATCAGGGTTGCGCTGGGTCCACCGAGGAAGGGCCTGGGCAGCTCCCCTGAAGGTGACAATTCAGGCCCAAGACCTCCCCTGTGCTGGGGCTGGGGACTGGATTTAGCTGTTACCTCGTCCCCAACATGAGGAAACCCTGCCCTGAACATGAGTGCCCAACATCAGGAGAAGGAACAGCTGTGGGGTGTCTGGGAGGCTGGTCAGGGGGTGGCTGCTGTCACAAGGCCGGTGGGGCACACACACAGGAAGGCCTTGGTCAGACTGCTGTGGCCCATCTCCAACCAAGGTGGGTGTTGTCACCGAGAGGCTGTGGCGTGTGCCTGGTTTCAGCCCCCTGGTGGGGGTGGATGAACTCCTTCCACACACCAGCTCTCAGCAAGGACACCTCCTCCTCAGGGGCACCAGATATGTTGTGACTGGGGAGGGAGCGCACAGTCTCGACCCGTCCTGGGTAGAGGCCAGGGGCTGGCTGAACGTCCCAGGATGTCAGGACATTGTCCCTCAAGTGACCTGGCCCTGAGGTCCACAGCGGGCAGGTTGAGAGCTTGGCTCCAAACACTGAGGGGACCCCTTCACAAATAGGCAACATCACGGCATCCTTCCCACGTCCAAAAGGCCCAGTGTCTTAGTTACTGTGCTCTCGTTGCTGAGACAAGATACCCAACACCCAAAGTTAAAGAGGGAAGGTTTATCTCACAGTTTGTAGAGGTTTCAGTCCATAATCAGCTGGCTCCAAGGCAGGGTGGCACATGGCAGAGGGGCATCACAGAGGAGAAGTCTGTGGCAAGCAGGAGACAGCAAAGGCAAGCAAGTAAGGGACCAAGGGAAGGCAGTGCTCAACAGCGTCTTTCTGCCCCTTTTGTCTTACGCAGACAATTTAGGGCAGGTAGCACTCGCTCCCTTAATCCTGGTGCCCTCTAGCCTAGCGTTGCAAAGGCGGCTACCCCACAGTGACATCTAAAACATGCGGGTTAGGTTCCCAGAAGAGGAGACGTTATGCACAGTCCCGGAGTGGAGCAGGCATGCGCCATCTCCCGCGCCTGGGAATGAGGGACCATGGACCAAGGTTCTGCAAGCCTGAGTCCTGCCCTGGGACGGGGAGCCCTCGGGAAGCAGGAGGAGGATGAGACTGTTCTGGTGATCTAGGCAGATCCCTCACCAGCAGTGATATTCCTTTCCATCCTCTTCAAAGGGCAAAACTGTGAACATCTGACATTACCAAGTGTTGAAAAGGAAATGGAGCAATTCTTGTACCCTGCTGGTGGAGATATAAATTGCAACAATCAAAAAAATAAAAAATGAATAAATTGCAACAATCAGTGTGGAGAATTCTTTAGCCTTATCTTTTTTCTTTTTCTTTTTTTGGTACCAGGGATCGAACTTGGGTCCTTGTGCTTGTGCAGCAGGTGGCGAAATCACTGAGCTAAATCCCCAGCCCTCTTTTTTCTTTTTTTTGAGGTGCTAGAGATTGACCCTAAGGGCTCTCTATCCAGTTTTTCAATTCTTCTTAAATTTTGAAACAGAGTCTAAGCTGTCCTGACTGGCCTCAAATTTTCAGTCCTCCTGCCTCAGCCTCCTCCTGAGTTTGGCCTTATCTGTAAGATAAAGGCTGTGCAGACCCTTGTGTCAGGAACTCTCACACAGGGGCTCAGGGACAAGAATGCTCCCTTCTGACCTGTTTATAGCGGTAAGCAAGAGGGAGCCATGAGCAAATACCTGGTGTTTTCTTCATATCGTGGACTAGTACATGGCCATGAAAAATGAATGAGCCGGAACTTTATATATCAAAGTTAACACCGTAATCATTATGGTGAGCAAGAAAAGTAAGTGGTAGAAAAACAGCTACACAGGGGCCTGGGATTTAGCTCAGTGGTTTCACCACCTGCCTCGAAACTGCAAGGAACCGAGTTTGATCCCTGGTACCAAAAAAAAACAACAACAAAAAAAGAAAAACAGCTACACAATTGTGACATGATAGAACTCCCCTTATCTGAGGTTTTGCTTCCCAACGTTTTAGTTTCCTGAGGTCAACCAAGTTCTGGAAATATAAAATGGGAAACTCCAGGAATAAACAATTCATAACTCTTAAAGCATCTCTCACTCTGAGTAGCTTGATGACCTCGTCCCTCTGTTGGTGACCCATGCTGTACCCAGAGCTGGCCACTCAGCAATGCAGCTGTCCAACCTCCTGTCACAGCATCATAGTGCGAAATCTGAAGGATCCACATTTCATTTAGCAACAGCCTCGTCAAGAGTCTTGATGCTGGCAATTTTATTACAGCAAATTGGTGAAATTGCTCTGTTTTATTGTTGTTGTTAATCTTACTGAGCTTTATTTTTGTATGACTTGGGGCTAAACCCGGGAGCCTTCACACTGAGTTGCATCCCTGGCCTTTTTGTTTTTTATCCTGAGACAGGCTCTTGCTAAGTCACTATGTTGCCCAGGCTGAGCTCCACTTTGCAATCCTCCTGCCTCAGCCTCCCAGAGTGCTGGGATCACAGCCATGTGTCACCCTGCCCGACACTGAGCCTAACTTTTCTCTTTTTCTTTATTTTTTTGAGGGGGGTGCTAATTTTTAAACAGCATTATCTTAGATATATGTAAGAAAAAGCCAGCAGGCCAGGGATTTAGCTCAGTGGTTTCGCCACCTACTGCGCAAGCGCAAGGACCCGAGTTCAATCCCTGGTACCAAAAAAAAAAAAAAGAAAAAGCCAGCATATGGAGGGCTCAACACTCCATGGTTTCAAGCCTCATCTGGGGTCCTCGGCCCCATCCCCAGCCATCACAGGGACAACCATGCTTACAGAAAATGTAAAAGCCCGCAGAATAAGGGGCCTGGGGCTCAGGGACCTCAGTGTAGGAGGGAAAGTTAACAACACGCACTGAGGTCATGAAGCCCCAACTGCTGCTGGGGTGGGAATGGGGCAAGAGGGCTGGGAGAGTTCAGTGACACTCGTGACGCTGCGGGGGACAGGAAGGAGTCAGAGGATGCCAAGCTGCCCCGTCCTCCTGAGCCTGGAGTCTGGGTGGGGACTGGGACTCCACAGTACCCACGAGGTGCACACAGGTGAGGGGTGCATCTGTGCCCCGTCAGCTGTGAGGATCCGGCCCCACTCAGCAGCTGTGGCCTTGGGGACCCACAGGCACCCAACCGAACCACACCTGGGCCATGGGCCCTCAGAGACCACAAGAGGATGAGCGTGTGTGGCTCCCAGCTGTGCAGTTCGTGGTGCACATCGGTGTCACAGTAGTAGGCGGCTACACTGCGGGGGGCACCGTGGGGCTCTGGGCGGGCAGACAACTGGGCCGGGGCTGCACCCTCAAGGAGAGACAGACAGCATGGTATTAATGCCCAGCAGCCCTGTAGGGTGTGGACTTGCTTTCCTAATGGCCAGCCAGGATTCAGAAAGGCTAAGTCAATGGCTCCAGGCTGCACTGCACAAGAGAGACAGTTCCATCTGTCCTTCAGCCATGTCTTCACCCTGAGTGACACTGAGGACATCAGGGAGGTCCTGACGGGGAAGGCAAGTATTTTTTGGTAGATGATTCTCTACTATTAAAGTATCAGCTCAAGCCAGGTGTGATAGTGAGGACCTGTAATCCTAACAGTGTGGGAAGCTGAGTCAGGAGGGCCTCAAATTCCAGCCCAGCCTGAGAAACTAAGCAACACAGAGAGATCTTGTATCAAAAGAAAAAGAAAAAAAGCTGGGGATGAGCTCAGTTGGAAGACTGAGTCAATCCCTAGTAAAATAAAAAAAATACCTAGTTTATATCATACTTTGCAGAACTAATAACTATTCTTAATTAGCCTCATATCTTCCTGGATGGCTTTCTCCTTTTTTTCTTTTTCTTTCTTTCTTCTTCTTCTTCTTTTTTTTTTTTAGCACTGAGGATGGAACCCAGGGCTTCACACAGGCTAGACAATCGCATTACCACTGAGCCACACCCCCAGGTCAACACAAATATTTTATAGTTTTATTTTTTAAATTTAGAATGTAAGCCGACACATAAAACCATAAACATTGAACATTTAATGAAGTATAGACAAATTTGGGGGTGGAGACAGGGTCTCGCTATGTAGTTCAGGCTGACCTTGAACTCACCATAGAGCCCAGATTGCCCTGGAACTCACAGCCATCTTTCTGCCTCAGCCTCCTAAATACTGGGATTGCAGACGTGTGCCTCGATGCCTGGTTTTAGACAAATATTTGGAAAGCAAAAACACAGTCATGCTTTGTATATCGTTCTACAACTGGCTTCTTCTCACGTATTCCGGAGATTCTGGGCTGAGTCTGGGATTCTTGGTTGCCTCTACCAACGGAGGAGGTGTGCAGGGCTCACCCCTCCACACCTGCCTGGCCGCTCTCGTGGCCACTGAGACAGGTGGAACTCGGGGCCCGTTGTGTGATTGGTCCCTCCTGGGGTCAGACTCCTGTCGGGCTGCTCCCTGGCATTTGAGTTGGAGGTGCACTTTTGGTCCTCCTGTGTAGGTTTCTCTATTTGAAGGTGGGGGTCTTTTTATTCTGTACCTCAATTCTTATTCTGAATCTTTGCATATTTTTAGAAAACTGTTTCCTATTCTGCCATAATTATTTTAGAATATTAATTTCATCACTAAAGTCATTAAGCCATGTCACAGAGCATTTAGAAAGTGGGAGAAAGAAGGAGAAAAAGGTCCACCACACAGATGTCGTGGTTTCCAAACACCAGGTGAAAATTCTTCCCACTTGGGTGTCTAGGACTGCTCTAATGACAGTGTGGGCTGGTGGCACATCTGTAGCATTATGCAGTCATTAATACCGGCCCCCTCCCGGGCTCCTCCATCTTCCCAAACCAAAACTCTGTTCCCATGAAATGCTCAGGCCTCATCCCTGCCCCCCTCATGGCACTTTCTGTCCCTGTGATGAATTTCACAGCCCTGGAAAATGAAATAGTGGCTCCCTAATGCGTTTGTCCTGTGGCTCGTGTTCTTAGCACTGCACCCTCAGGTTTCATCGAGTCAGAATCCCCTCCCTCTGTAAGCCCAAATAATGCTCCACAGGATAGATGGATGCATCTGGTTTATCCATTCATCCTCTCTGGATACTGGATGGTGGGTGCCGCTGCTATGAACATGGCATCTGACACCTGTCTACATCACTGCTTCTGGTTCCTCGGGGATTCACTCGCCACCCCTTTCATTGAGCATGCAGAGTGTGTGTCATCTCTCCGTCCTGTCAATAACACTGTCCTAGAAATCTCTGGGACCAGAGCTGCTTGCAAAAAGCGTTAGATCACCACGCAGCAGTCAAGTCTTGGCCCTGGGACTGTTATCTCGGAGTTGATTTCCAAGGCACCATCCAAATGACCCTGACACCCTCCTCGCTGCCGTAGTTTGCCCACCTTTCTGTTCAGCAGTGTTTCTGTTATCTCCTTTGGTTCCTAGAAAGGCTGAACGTGACCATTGTGTTCTCAGTGTCCCTCTGACAATGTGTCTGTGGGGAACTGGACTGGACAGGCCAGCCAGGTAGGTTGGAAAGGTTGGGCTCCAGATTAAATCTTTCTTTGGTGAGAGGTTAGGTGAGGTGCAGTGCAGTGGTTGAGACTTTGCCTACATGTTCCAGGCCCCGGGTTCCATCCCCAGCACTGCAAAAACAGTGAAAAGTTCAGCCTTTAATAAATCTCAAGCCTGTAATAGGCTATGGGTGGCATTGTCAGGACTCAAACGTGTGTTCCCAAGACAAGAAAGAGGGGCTTGGTGGCAATGGGAGGGGGAGACTTTTGAGGAACTGATGCCTTGCACCTGAGAGGAGAGAGGCAGAAAGATCTTCCACATATTTTTATGTGAATCTCTCACTCTCTCTTTTCATTGTTGTTGTTGTTTTGAGACAAGGTCTTACCTTGCAGCCCAGGTTGGCCTGGAACTCACATGACCTTCTTGCCTCAGCCTCCTGAGTACTGGGATTATAGATATGCACCACCGCACCTGGGTGAATCTCCTAATTTGAAACATTTGCAACTTGTTCACATTTTATAAAACATCACGCAACCCCAAAAAACTTGTCTATTGGCCAGAGTTCTCTCAGTGCCCCCTTGGTTGAGCAGCCGCCCCCACCCCACCCCGCCTTCCACCTTTGCATCAATGCAAGATCTCCCCTTCATCCATTATCTTGCAACTAATAGGATCTGTTCCAAGCTCCCCATTGATCTGTTTATCCTAACAGCCAAAGCACCAGCTTTGAATGACTGTGATAATAGAATCTTGTTTTATATTGGAAAGCATCACACACACACACACACACACACACACACACACACAAATACACTTGTCTCTTTATTTTCTCTAATTTTCTGATTTGTTCTGGTAGTCTTGCCTGTTCCTTTTTCCCAGATAAAGTTTGGAAGCATTTTATCATTTTGCCTTTTTAAAACAACCCCAAACAGGGCCCGGGATTTAGCTCAGTGGTTCTGCCGCCTGCTGGGCAGGCGCAAGGATCCGAGTTCCATCCCCGGCACACACACAAAACCCCAAAGAGCCAGTGCGTTGGAATGGAGTTATCTGTATCATAAACTCACTGAAGACCCACCCACCTTGGGGACTCTGCCCCGCCTTATTTGTCCCCTGTCCTGCCCTGCAGGTAAGTTTGGCCCTGGTCAGGGGTCAGGCGGATGGACGGCCAGCATTCCTCCCCACATATTCCCCGGGGGCGGAGCCGAGTCTGTGGCCCTGGGGACCCATCTAGAAGTCTGATCCTTCCCGGTTCTCCCAGGAAGGTCACCAGGAGGCAGGAGGGGCCCCAGCAGGACAGAACTGGCCCCTAAGAATTCCAGGGGCAATTTGCTTTCTTCCTATGGAAAATGGGAGTAAGAAGCCAGGCCTGGGAGCTCCCAGTGAGCAGAAGGGAGGAAGGGCTAGCAGCCCCACCTGGGTGCGAACAGATGGAACAAAGGCTGACCCCACCCCGGCCGCCCTGGCGCCAGGGCCCGGGGAACCGTGAAGGCGGCCCTCACCTACCCAAGGCGGCCACTGGCAGCGCCCAGCTGCATGTCCAGCCCTGCCCGGGGCTTTGTGTCCACAGAACCCAAACTGTTTACACGGAGCAAGGGCTCCCAGCAGGCCTGGTATGGAGGGGAACAGAAGCTGCACACTGCAGCCCCCTAGTCTGGGTTCTGTGGCTCCCAAGCAACTTGCTGAGACTCCAGCTAGGGTCCTCACCCTTCCCAACTAAACACCCTGGCTCCCCACCCCACTCTGCCCCCTCCCTGTGCCAAGAGTCAGTTACCAGGGTGGTGGGTCTTTGTGTGTGTCGTTCGCCACCTAAATGTCTAGAACAAGCAAGGTGGGTAGATGTGTGGAGCAAACAAACAAACCTTTTCAGCAGACCCAGGAGAAGTGCCTGTCCGAGCTGGAGCCAGTGGGTGGGGAAGGGGACAGGGTGACCACACACAGTCCCTGTGCTCCGGAGCCTCTGTGGCTAGAGAGGGAACTGCTCATGCGCTAATTTCCTGCTGACTGATGCCACACCTAGCACTGGTGCTCCCTGAACCCGGGCTGGCAGGAGGAAGCGGAATAAGCCAGGGGATGTAGAGAAACAAGGAGGCCCCTTGGGGGTCATTCTAAGTTTGGAGCTCTGGATTCCTCCCTGTGGGTCCTCAGCCATGATCTAGGTTCTGGATGTGGAGTTCAAGGCTTTGGGACACAGGTTCTAGATTCTGGGCTCCATGTCCTACACCCTGAGTTATGAAGTATAGATTTGGGGTCCCACATTTAAGGTCAATGTTCTGGGCTCCGTGCACTACTAGGATCCGGATTTTGAGGTCTGGGCTCTGGGCCACATCTCAGAGTTCTTGGTTAAGTTCTGGGTTCTGAGTGCCAAGCTCTGAATTCTGGGTTTGAGGGTCCAGGCTCTGTATTTTGAGGTCAAGTTTCCCAATTTCTGGAATGTGGGTTATAGGCTGCAGGTCCTAGTCTCTACACACTGGACTCCTGGCTCTGGCTTTGGGCTCTGGACTATGGGCCCAGCAAGCATACTAGAGACCAGGTAGCATAGCATCATTATTGTGCTTAACTTTTGCTTGTTTTATTCACAGATGTGGCCCCAACACCTAGAAAGGTTTATGGCATGCAGGAATTGTTCAACACACACATCTGAATATGTATTCAGACACACACAGTCCTGCTGTCATGACCCAGGAGACAGGACAGGGACTGTCCCAGCCTTGCTGTGGCTGCAGCTGGCAGGAAAAGGGGAGGCAGAATGCCCTGGAGCCAGTGGGGGTGCGTGGGGAGCTATGGTGGATGTATGGGGTCCAGGGCCACTGTGCTCCAGTGACAGCCCAGGGCCCACCCAGCTAAGCAGCAGGCTGGCTGCTGTGTGATCCAGGTGTCAGTTCCACAGGGAGGACCACAAATAGGGCGGCAGTACAACATCCAGACCTTGGCTTCCCCTGCTGGGGCGAGGCCTGCTGGCACCAGGGAGAGTGAAAACCTCCTGGACCAGATGGGCCTCAGAGCTGTCAAGGAACAATCAGAAATCCTGGTCATCAGGACATAGACATAGAGACTGGTGACCGGGGATGAGATGATTAGGGGTGGGTGACCAGTAATCAGGGATGGGAGAGTCACTGAGGGATGACATCATTCACAAAATACCATCAGAGAGAGTTGAGGTCACATCCTGACCTTCAGGAGGCATCACTCAGAGGTCCTAGAGATCAGAACCACCGTGGATTGGATATGGTATTAATCATCCAGCAGGGAGGGAAGTGACTGAGAGTGTTAGTGGTGACAGCATTTGGTGTTCAGGTCCTGGATAATTAAAGGTAAAGGAGACCTCAGTGATCAGACTTAAAAACTGAGGGCACGGAGTCTAGAGATCCTGCAGAGGAGAGCCCTAGGTCACCTACTGGGGATCAGAGGCATTGCTGATTATGGAATAGGGATCATTTGTAACTGGTGATGCTAATAGCTAGGGATGGATGACCAGGGAGGTGGCGATTAGGGGTATAAGGGACTCTGGAGAATGACATCAGCCACCAGAGACTCTGAAGAAGATTCAGGGGTCACTGGTGTTGGCCATTAGAGATGTTGGTGATTGGAGGTGAGCAATCAGGATTCACTGGTGACCACCTTGGTAGAAAATTTGATGGTGAGAGGATTCTGTGATCAGACATTATTGGTTAGACATATTGATGTCACAGATAAGTGGATGAGGACATTGTTAAAGAGACATTGGTAATGAGAAATGGCATGATTGGAGATGTTAGAAATGGCGAGGGCTAGGGATGTAGCTCAGTGGCGCCATGCCTGCCTGGCAAGTGCAAGGTCCTGAGTTTGATCCCTGATGCTGGGAGCGAAAGAGGAAAGAAATGGCATGTGAATGATCAGATCATTAGAAAAAACAATGATCTGAGGCAAGAGGATCACAAGTTTAAGCCCACCCAGGCAATTTAGCAACTTAACAAGACCTGTCTCAGTGTTTTTAAAAAACATTAAAAAGGCTGGGGATGTAGTTCAATACAAAGGCCCTGGGTTCAATCCCCAGTGCCACAAAATAAAACAACAAAAACACTGATCATCAGGTCTAGTGGCACACACCTATAGTACCTCCCAGCTACTTGGAAAGCTGAGTCAGGACAACTGCTTAAACCAAGGAGTCTGAGGCCAGCCTGGGAAACACAGTGAGACCTGGATCTAAAAAAAAAAAGAAAGAAAGAAAGAAAGAAAGAAAGAAAGAAAGAAAGAAAGAAAGAAAGAAAGAAAGAGAGAGAGAGAGAGAGAGAAAGAGAGAGAGAAAGAAAGAAAGAAAGAAAGAAAGAAAGAAAGAAAGAAAGAGAGAGAGAGAGAGAGAGAGAAAGAAAGAAAGAAAGAAAGAAAGAAAGAAAGAAAGAAAGAAAAAAAGAGAAAGAAAGAAGG